GTTGTGTATAAATTGTCTGGGGTCCGGGCATTCTTCAATGAGTTGCGATTCAAAGTATAAATAACAGACATGCAAGAAAGCTCATCACTCACTGTTGCATTTTACTTCTACTGCTAGTCCATCAACTAAGTTATGCCCAAGATCATCAAATACTCTATCCACTAAGACGCAAGAGCATCTGTCTTCGGTTGGGTCACATTTTGCGACTACATCGTGTCTTGTTAGAGGACAACCGCAGAAAATCGTTCTATTGTCCACAGCAATAGTAAGTTGAAGTCTATGCTGCCGATGGACGGCGACACACTCTAAGAGCTTTGTTAGACAGTGGGTCTCAAGCTAGTTTTATCACTGGGAGAGCGGTGTGTGCTCTTATGCTTCGTTGTTTCGTCGGTCAGCGTTACTACGTTTGCAAGTTCAGCTTCTACCGTTGTTCGGGGCAAATGCAATATTAAGATTGCTCCCTCTGGTCAACAATAGGTACGTATAGATCAATACTGTTTATTGTATATCTTTTATAATTTTTTATTGAGTAAAAAAATTTACATGACAGGTACAAAATGAATAATGGGTAGGTACCGCAACGACGGTGTGATAACAAATTTGTGTATGGGTATTATTTAATAATAATGAATTTCAATAGAACTTGAAGTGAGATGATGATTTGTATGGATGAAGTGATTCGTGATGATGGTAACCAATGTCAGAGTGTTCACTGTGATGATAGGGTGCTTCGATTTTCTTGACTACAGCGTTGAAACCGTGTTCGTGGTCGGCTGTGTACTCGACAAGGCGTGTTGAACCATCGGCTTCTACTAAACTGTAAGATCCTTTGACATTACCATGGCCGTCACTAACTTCGCTTTGGCTTTTGATGTCGTGTGTATGGAGGTCTTTTACGCCGTACTCGAAATGATACGGTGCAGGTGCGTGAGCATAGTGATCGTGGTGACCATCGTCGTAGCTTTTGTACTCGGGAGGGTAAGCAATGGCCATTTGTCCAATCAGGGCAGCAAATACAATCAGCTGAAATTTTCATAATGTTTTTGGTTATTATATAGTCCGATATCTTGAATAAAACTGATGTTATATTACATAAATTTGATATAATAAGTAATATATTATATACATAATATATACCTAAATGAATGTGGGTTGGCATAAAATCTTTAATAGTAAATCAATTGTCATATAATTGATTCAATACCTATTTCCAAATATTAAGAGTTTTTGATTTGGTATTATAATATAGGTATTATTACATAGAACACAAATTTATAAAAATATACAAATTAATACCTATTTGGTTTAAATTTCTGTCTGCGTAAAGGAAATAAAAATTATTCATAAAATACTTATTTCATTTATCTAGGTTTCTAATAAAGTTACCTAGTTATGACTTATAAATAATAAATGTACAATATCTTACCTTTGTAGTCATTTTGAATTTTTTGTAGATGCGTTCACACTTTTACGAGATGAGATTTTTAAAAATAAAATGTATTCTTCACAAAGAATGAACTGGGTAGGTACTGATAACTATTGGATCTTAGTATGCAGTATATATACTGTGCAGATCCCTCCTATATCAGATTGTTCAGCATTCACACAGATATGTTATAGTTTAGAATTATTTTAGATAGGTAGTCATTACTCATTGACTAAGAAATGGACACGCAGTTACATCAACTCATTAAAAAAAAATATATGAAAATATACACATCTTCCTAATTATTAGCAGTATACACACTACATAATTAATTTTGTTTTTAATTAACAATGTTGTATCATTATCCTAAAAGAATTAGTCAATGATGGATTTTGATATCAAATGTAGGTAGGTACCTAGTGGTAAAAATATAAATCGTCTATACGACTATACCTACGAGTTACGACCTACCTACTTAATATTATTTAATATTATATTACCATATCCTATGTTACATTACAAACAATGAAGAAATATTTTTTTATTACAATAAACTTGTAATTTATTTTGTATTTTAATTTTTAAACATAATAAGTACAATCAATTACCTACATTTTTATTTTATTGTGTATAATAATAATTTTGTAGTTAAAAATGTATACAATTTTCAACTTTTAAAGCTAAGGATTGTAAATTTAAAAAAAGGTGGGTAAGTGAGTGTCACTCTGCTGTACAGTAGGTTACAAGTGGGTCACTGTATAATACATGGTATTACATTTGAATTCAATGATATTATATCATTGTATAAGAAAAACGATTCTGAGCGGAGACGGTATGTCCTTCTAGGTACAAGACATATTATATACTTATCTATGGTATTAAAAAAAATTTTTAACGAATTCTTAACTCAAATAATTTGCTAATTTTCGTGATTTTTCCATATTTTGTCAATTTTTGAACTTTAAATGCTTATAAAAAAATTGTGACTAAGGATTTTTAATATTTTTCATCTGCCTTTGAAACAATAAACTAGGAGCCTTCTATTAAATTTTCAAGCTTTCGAAACCAACAAATAAAATTTTATTGATATTTATAGAATAAAAACTAAAAAAAAAATGGAAAATGAAAATGTCCCTAAACAGTTCAAAACAAAAAAATAATATTTTAAAAATTTGATCGGGTATAGAAAATGCAAATATAAACAACCAGTGAAAATTTCATGTACATACGTTCATTTGTTTTAGAGTTACACCAAAAACCAAAATCGATTTTTTGGAAAACAGATTTTACGTGAAAAATCCCGTTATTCCTTAATGTTTATGTGTTTAATCCCGGCGCTTATGAAAACTAGTGGGAATTTTAAAATTTTACCTCCTGAATGTACCAACTAGATTCACTTTCCAATCGAACAAGATAATGAAGTTGAAAATCATAGCTTTATTTCGACTTTTTATCGTGTACACAGACACAAAAATAAAATTTAAAATTTAAAAAAAAAACACACATTATTGTAAAATCAATACATTCATCGTTCCACTCAGAATCTAAAAAGGTGATTCAGTTTGAAAAGAATGATTCTATATTTCTATCTCCAAATGGCACTCCTTAAATTATATTAAGAAATTTCCAAACACCATAATATTGACTATAATAGTTTATCTTGATAACCATAACATCAACAGCTAATTGTATGACCACGACCAACTATTACCTATTTAAAATGTAATCACTTAACGACAAACCAACAATGTAATAAGTTCCCCATGTTAATATAGTAGGTAGTTAATATAGGTAATCCAAATTGTATTGTAAATTAACAAAAATAAATTGTTTCAAGTCGAAAATCTACAATGCCACAAAATATTATAGCCTTGATTCTAGATCATTCGAATATTTTTAATTCGATTAAGATGTGTAATTAATGTATGAAAAAATAGATAATCTCAGCAAAGGTCTTATGCTTTATGCGTAAGAACCTCAGTTCAAACTCCTCACTGAATTTTTCTTTGTGTACGTGCCTAATTTAGCTATATAAGTGAATAAGGATTAAAAAAAAAATCCATTACAAAACGGATTAATGAAGAGTATTCTTCTGTGATGTCTACAGATTAAATTTAAAAAAGAATGACAATGTAGGATATTATGAAGAAAATTAAAAAAACAACAATGTTGTAATAATATAATCAAATAAACTTCAGTAAATGTTCTAGTCATTTGAAACATGTATGATTAAATATATAAGTATATAATATGTAAAATAAATAATATTTATTTTTAAAATATTACACTGAATTTTTATGAATTTATAAAAATAAAAGTAATAAATGTTTGGCGGAAAACTTATTTCAAAACAACATTATATAACAGGTATATTTATTTATGTTTATAATAATATAAAATATATTTTGTTTCTTAAATAAATCTTACACTGTATTCAGTAATAATTCTTACTTAATATCTACTAAATTGAGTTTAATCACCTGATCACTAAAGTACCTATACCTACTAATATAATACTGATACGTATGAGTTGAAATTAAATAAATAACATAATATAAACAACTAAAACTAAAAAAAAAAATGAAATAATTCACTTATTTATATATGTATTTAAAAGGACGCTACCCATACACGGAGGACATAGCAAATTTCCCTTCACTAGTTTCAATAGTGTGTTGTTAGATTTAATATTAGAGTGAATTCACTTATTATCATACTTGTAGGTAAGAATATTATCTGTACTCAAGCGTTGGCAATTTTTCAATATTTTCATTTTCAAGTGAGATATGAGTATGTGAAGTATCAAAAATTAAAAGGGCTCATACCTTGCTTGAAAATTAAAATATCGGATAAAAGCCAACGTTTAAGCACAGATAATGTTATTATCTAAAAATGTTATAATAGGTCAATTCACTCTAATATAAAAATAACAGCATACAAATGAAACTAGTGACGTAAAATGTGCTATGTCGTAAGTGTGTAAGACGAAGACAAGTGAGACAACAAATGCATGGGTAGGACCCTCTTAATTGTATTTTCTAGTTATGTTAAGATGACATCATACTGGCATGCTTTTTTTCTGTCTTACTAACGCATAACAAAATTCAAAATAATTAATACAACTTAGTTATAATATATTATAAATATTAAAGTGAATTGATCCATTACAAAGTTAAAATTAGGAATATTATATATTATATCTTTTTAACAATAAATAAATAATTTAAAAAAAAAAAAATAATATTTTAAAAAATAATAACTGAGTTAAAATATGGATTATTTTAAACGTATAATATTTTGGTATGTTGTTCGTTTGTAAGACGGAAACAACACATATGGGTATTATGTCTTCTTAAATAAAATAAAATTAAAACATGATTAAATTCAATTTATTTATTCACCGTCAGCAATCTAAACATTTTGAAATTTGAATACAATAAGCTCAAAATATAAAGTGTTTTTAAATATATCTTAACATTGCTACTGTTCGAATGGATACAAAATAAATGTTAAATAATAAATAATAAATAATAAATAATAAAAAAAAAATGATTTTTACTTTATTACCTAGATCTTATACTTTTTTTTTAGTTTCATCACATGAATAATGTTCATTACACCATTCCGTCCAGTTACTTGGCAACAGTCTAGTGTACAAATTATCTAAACGAAAATTGGTTACTTCTGTAAATGTTGAAACAAAGGACCTTAATTTCTTGCTTGGTAAATAGTTCGATATAGGAGATAAAACCCTGAAAAACACAAATAATACTTTTGTTGTGGTTAAATCCAAATATAAATTGTATGTTGTGTTTTATTTTTGCGAAGTCACTCTAGTAAATCATAAATTTAAAATAATAATTATATACTTGTACTCCAATTATCAATAATAATAATTCCGGCATGAATAACTTACCAATTCATCCAAATTAGTGTCAAACTCGGGTTTCTGGCACCAGCCATACGGCAAGAGACCCTCTCCACGCACTTTTCCGACCTCATGATTTGTCTGAAGCTGGCCATTCCAGTTTCCATAACTTGGAAATTGTCTAGACGTTTCCTCATCCTCTTACCATCTTCATTTTCATCGGATCCATCAGGTCCATCAGGTCTATCAGGTCTATTTGGATTTGTAGGCTGATTGTTTGATGGGCTCATGTTGCCAAAATTATTCGGTACTAAAACCGGCTGGCTGCCCATGTTGTGCATGTTCCACATACGCGATAATATCATCGGCCACGTAAATATCGACAAGAGAGCAGGAAGGAACAGGGTCATTTTCACCATTTTCATAAACATCAGAGCCTTGATGGCCAGCACGAGTATGAGGAGTTTGAGTTTGAACAACATGAACAACAAGGCCTTGATGAAGCCCAGCGCTTTGAGCTTGGCCATCGCGATCTTCACCAACGCAAACAGACCGATTTTGGTCACGTCGATCGACATTTTGTGTTTGCTAGGATGACGAATTTCGGCGATTATGGGAACAGGTCGCGATGACTGTGGTATTTGTTCGCCGTACCACTCCATCATGCTGTCTCCGCCTGACCATCCGTTGTTTGGATTTCGGTAGTTTCCGGATTCGTAACTAGATGCCCCCACGTTACCACCTCCGCCGCCAAATTCGAACGCGCTTCCGTAACCTGTTGATCCGTCTTCGTCGACCGTGATGTCTGTTTCAATGGGTGTCGGTCCGTACTTATTCAACTGTCTGTGATTAGTATTATACCTGATGACAAGACAACAGCAATTATTATTATTGTCGTTGATCTTCTTATCAAACTTATCATCTTTAAATACTTTATCCATAATAGTATATTATATTATTTTACATATTATTACACATCATGTATAATATGCATGTACTATAGCTGTATTAGTCGGTGTTTACATGTTTGATTCATTTTTTTTTTATAGTAGGTACCTATTTAATTATATTCATATAATGTATAATTAGGTATAAACATCATATTAATTATATAAGTAGGTGAACTACAATAATTTCCAAATAATCATAAGCCCCATATCTTCAAAATCCATTTTTTATCATAACCACTAATACACAAAGTCAAATAAATCAGAAACTTATCATTCAAAATTCTATTTAGAAAAATCAATATTTTCAAAAAAACAATTGTATCAACAATTTACAGAAACCATTGTGATTCCCATTTAAAAATAATAAATGGGTATAGCTACAGAACACTCCTTAAATTATATAAGAACATCTTAGTATTTTAATGTGATCCTTATAAGTATATACTTAAAAATTACTGCAAATAATATCAGAATTTGAGTATAATATCATGGGAGTATTATTAAAGAAAAAAATGCTTGTTGAGCAAACCTGTACTGTATAGCTATATGCGTATTATATGTAGGTACAAATACGTAGGTACGACAATCAATGTATATAGATAAGTTAAAATGTCGACCGTTGAAAAATCGACAAGTACAAAATGTCGGCGGATCATTATATATGGACAAGAACAAAATGTCGACAGATCAATATATCGACTAGTACAAATTATCGAAAAAAAAAAATTGCATAGTTTAATGTTGAGATAAAGTGAACGGTATTTTTTTAGATACTCTGTAATAGCTTTGTATACACAGATGACTATAAAATAAATAGTAACTAAAGGATGGAATCCAAAACGTGATACGAAATCACGCGGAAATGTTCCAGTTATAGAGTTCTTAAGAGGAATTGCTTACAATATGACATTATAATTTTATTTTATTTATGTCCTATAATATATTTTTTTTAATTACATATTTATTTTTATTTAATTGGTCGTCATTGTAATTTTTCGATATATTGACTGTCGACGTTTCAACCAGCTCCCATATATTATATTAACACACGTCTTGTATATTATATGTACCTACCTAAATGTGTACTTTGCTTTTTATTATAGAAAATATTAATAATAAATTAACGAACATAATATTATAATATGATATAGGTAACAGATTTTAACAGCGATATTCTGAAATTCATATTCAAGTGTTTTTTTTATTTTATTTCGAAATAAGGATATCATTTAACGGAAGTCCTTAAAATACAGAAATAATTAAATTAGGTACTTTTAACTATAGAAATAACAATATCGATTCCATCAATGAAATATACTCGAAAATCAGTTTAAACTTTAATTACAATATTTTAAGGTACCTAATAAATTATTTAATTGCGTGTAACCGAAGGACCAGAAAGTTGGTGTTATTTATTTAATACTTATATTTTCATACCTATTCCATTTCGGAAATGCACCATTTAACAACACATCTGCGTGTTGATCTTCTTCGAATTCGACTTCTTGATCTTCCTTGCTAAAGTAGAACGGATTTCTGATATATCTGCCACGAGTAACGAATGCCGGCGTACTGGTAGTCAGCGAAGGGTACGATTTAGTATTGGAAACTGATGACGGGGTCTCGACAAAAACATCGGACGTCAAAGACGAAAATGTATTGTAATCGTCGGTGGTCGACTTACGACCTGTTGTCTTGAGTTCCACACTCAAATCATGGACCAATTTCGATTTATCGTGCATTTCTTTTGAAGTCCGATTTTCGTGCAGCAGAAGAGGAGCGTCGGTCGATGCATTGAGCTGAGTGGTTGTTATAAATACAGAGTCATCGACCAACGTCAGTGCAACAGCCATAACTGTTAGAATCTTAAAACTCATTTTTTTAAATAAATGGTTTTCAATGTATTAAACCCTCCAAATAATAAGAGTGGTGTAATAATTTCTACGGCAAACGTCTGTAAATGTTTGAAAAATTTAATTACTGTTATTTATTATATTATTACATTATGATTTAAAATGTAAAACGGATTATAAAAGTAATATTATGAGTATTAAAATACATTTGGTACTAAAAAAATATTGACAGTATGCTAAAAAGATATGGTATAGGAACTAACGTGCTTACATATTATATGAGTCTACAGCTATGCATCTATCCATCCATTGTTGAATAATTGTGTTGGCTAAAAATATAAATATTGAAAAATATTTATGAGTTATAAACAATATAATAAGGTGAGTTCTTCGAAATTTAAGCAATCGAAAAAATGCAAAACTCTAAACTCCTTTGCTAAAATGCGTCTTAGCTATGAACATCACTCGTTGACAACGAACTGCGACTGATCAAGTTCAGTGGCATTGCTAATGTCGATTTCCTTCAATGACGAAAATCAAAAACAATAGTGTCCATGGGGGAGGAGCGACGACTTAATTGGCTAGAATCTAGAACAATACGAAATATTTACAACGATTTTTCTTTCATTGTAATTGAATGAAATTGGTTAACCATATATGTAAAAAGAAGACTTTTTTACAAACAGTCTGTGTATTAAACGAGAGTGAAGACGAAATAATTGAACCGCACCAGTGCTCGTTAACAGCGTATATTGAAAGGAAATTAAATTGAACGTAATATAATTATGACACGTGGACGTGTTTAAAACCGTTAGAATAATTATGGAATAAAAATAATATCAAACGTTGAGAGAAAACACTTACATTTCGATGATCTATAAAGACATTACATTTTTCTTATACAAATAAATTCGGGATTTGCTTGAGAAATACAATTACAATTATTGGAAAATATTTTGTGCCTGTACACTGTGTTAGATTCTGTGAAGAGCTATACAATTTTTCGGGCTGGTTGTACTGGTTTTCACATAATATTATAAATTTTAAATGGTATTACAATTTTTTCGGCCCGGCAAAATTAATCAACACGGCCCTTGAACGGAAAATATAACTTTTATATCCTCCAATAACTATAATAGTCTTGGGTTAGTCGGATAAGGGTGACCAATTCCAAAATTGAACTTGAAGTTTGAACATAATACAATTTTCAATATTTACAGAAAATATCCTTAAATATTTTGTAACCAATAAAATGAATTTGATTAACATTTTGTATAGTACAATTAAAAGTTAATTACATTTTCTAAACCTTTTATGGAAATACATTTTATTATATTTCTGTCTTAATATATCTGTATTCTATAGTATTGTCTATAGTTTTTACTCTTTAATAATTAACAACACAATTTTATTCACAAATCACAATCATTAATTACCTGTTGGCTATTATAATATATACCTATATTGTAACCAATATAATTAATTTGATCAACATTTTGTATAGTACAGTTAAAAGTTAAATACGAAAAAATTTTACACTTAAATACCACTTAGGTAAACAAAATATTTTAACCTATATGTTTGATGTAATATAGTACAAAAACAAGAAATTACACGTCTTACGGGAAGGGCGATTGCCCCCCCCCCCTCCTTCTCCCCTCAGGGACACGCCTGGCCACCCTGGTAGGCAATAATGTGTGAAAATTCGATTTGATGCATGCTTGTACCTGATCTGGAAGGATTAACCAATAGGCAATATCAACCAATAATAAATAAATACTATTTCTATTAATTATATCTCCTATAACCAATAGCAACCAGTTATAAACAAACATTTCCATCGTAAATCTCAAAATCCCTGTTTGAGCACTTCTATTAATTGGTCGTAGCGAGATGTTGTATAGTCTATAGCCTTCCTCGATGAAATAATTTTTCAATTCGAACCAGTAGTTCCTAAGATAAGGGCGGTCAAACAAACAAACAAACTCTTCAGCTTTATTATATTAGTACCTATATAGATTTAATATTATTATAATACATTTTAATATGACTTTTTTCTACCAACACATTTGAAATGCTTATTATTCCATTAATATCTATTAATTTAAATGTATTCTTATGACCTCAAATCATTGTAATTATATTTCCATGCAAATTTTATAAAATTGTTATTTTTATTTTAAAAACTTCTCAAAGTATTACACATTTTAATAAAAATGTATAAAAAATGTTTATACAATCTTTAAATTTAATAATATCATAATAGCTTCAATTATTTTGTCGAAAGGTTTATCTTTAGCATTTAAACTTTTGATACAATTATTATTACATCCATAGATCTATATTAAATTAATTAAATAATTATGGAAAAAAATATATGTTCAAAGAATTATAAAAAAAAAACAAAAAACCAAATTTAAATGAAATTCAAACTTGAAACCATAATTTAATTGGAAAATTGTTAATATTACCTAATATATAATTGGATCAATATGTTTATATTATGTGCATTAAATTACATTTTTTTTTCATGCATAAATTTCATTATTTCAATATTTTAATTTTATTATATCATACATTTTACATTTAAAACTGACTTTCAATACAAAAATAATGAATTAAAACTATGTGTTGAAAATTGAAAGTAAATATTGTAAATTTGTAAATTATTTGCTGAAATTTCCATTTCTTATCAATTTTTGAGAAAAACCACGAAGAAATAGAAGCAGCAAGTGTGTTTCTTTTAAAATCGTGTTGAAATGGATATAATATATTCTGATATCCAAGCGTATACAGAGTGTTGCACGATAAATGTGTCAAACTTCTAGAGCTTCACCTCAAATAGAACAAAAAAAGTCCTCATGACCATAATCGAATTATCAATAATAAGGGTAATAATTTCCATGTTTTGTGTTTTTTTGGTTAAACTCGAGTTTGATTCATAATAATGTTCATATTTGCTAAACCGTAGGTACTACAATATTAATTTAAATACATTGATGAAAAGCTCATAAAATTAGTACTTGGAAAACATATCTGTCTGTTATGTCTGATTTTTTGGGTAAAAAGAATAACACTAAATTTTTATAACTTTAAAATGTCGAAATTTAAAAAAATTCCAGTTTTATCTAACAACAATTATTTTTTAAGGCAGGAGTTATAAGGACTTTTTTTGGTCCATCTGAGGTGTAGAAACACCTCTAGAAGTTTGACACATTTATCGTGCAACACCGTGTATATTCAGAATCGATCGAGCGTTTATTTTGATGTCCAATCCATGGAATATTATATTTAGGTAGGTACAATTTGGTACATGTCTATTATATACCATTCGCACATTTTTATTAAATATGTATCAATATCTATAATAGGTAGATGAAACTTTGTTTTCAATGATTTATATTGTACCTAACTATCTGTTAAGATACAAACTAAAGTGATCTAATACATTATATTATGTAGGTAGTGTATTCTGATTTATTTGTTCATTTAAAATAAATACTCTAATAAGTATAATACGATATAATATTATAATATAAATGGGAAAATTGTTTATTTGCACACTTTTTAATATTCATAATACAATCCATCATTTAATATAAACGATTGAGAGCCCACCAAGGTATTATATAGAACACGTGGTTATAACCGTCACTATCTCGGATGGTAAATTTGGGGTATGGAAGGGAGACATATTATAGTCCATCATGAACGCATCGAACAGAAAAACCGCGACAATTTATTCAAGTAATTATTGGTGTGAGAATAATGGCATATTCGGCCCACTACACTAGATTATTGTTAAAATGTAGGAGAATGCGTTTTAAGAGATAAATTCACATCGGAAAATGTGGGTGAGGAATTGTCGCTTTTGGGGTTTTCTCTCCATTTGTCACCTCAACCTAATCAGTCGTACGCCACTTTCTAGTGGCCGGAAGGACTACCTATATTTTATGGTCACCCGAGTTTTTCCATCATCGTAAGAAAAAAATAATGGTCATCATAAATCCTTTGGCACGATTTGTTAAAATTGTGTAAAAATATATAATAGGTCTGCTATAGTAAGGACAAAATGGATTCAAAATAAAATATATAATATTATTAACAAAAATTTATATTTATGTAATTTAAAATTTTCTTTTGTGATAATAATAAATAATAATAATATGAAGACATACCTATATTATATATAGTATTGAACATAATTTCATATTGTAATAAAATTTCTCAAACTTTATGATTAAATATAGCATTATTAAATCAATAATATATTACTATACTACCTAAGCGATAGCTCGCTAATCGTCAATTTTAAATTTAATGGATATAAAATAAATTAGAAAAAAAGAACAAATCATATCGCTCTGATCGTACAAACAAAAAGATTCGAGAGTCGTCTTGCGAGGTCACAATGTGGCGTCTGCTCCTCTTCGGAAGTGAATGAATATTATTTCCGTGCACGTATAGTTCTCGTCGAGTATATAGATCTGTGACGGCTGTATCGACACATTGTAATGACATTATGTACAACAGTTGGGTACTATAGACGTGACGATCAGAACCCGGCAAAGTCCACTAGCGCCCTCGTGCTTCTCTGAAGTGACTTTTGAGTACTTCGACAGGGATACCGCACCTCTGAGCAGACGGAGTTCACGAGGTTTTCATCTTCGCCCGTATCAAGTCCCGTCTCTGTACCGTAATTGTAAGCCTCGCGATATTGCTTCAGTTTGTCTCTGATCGGTTCGTTGTTCTGGACCAAGCGAAGGGTCTGCAAGAACTTCAACACCCTGTGGAAAAAAAGACGAACATATGTATTAAAGTGGATTCTCACGCATGCTGCTCCCTATAATATAGTATTACAATGTTCAAGCCTGATAAAGAAATTACACAATTGAGCTGGTTATTTAACTTCAAAGTTCATCACGAGATATTATTACCAAAAAAAAAAAAACAGAGAGTTGACTAGTTTTCTTTTTACTCGTTTCTACTTTACTTTTTCGAATTACAAATTTTGTTCCGTCTTTGATAAAACAATAATAATATTAATATCGCCCACATAGATTATTTAAATGTTTCATTTTGTAACTTTTGATCTACATAATAATATTATTTGACATATAATATTATAGATGTTTAATTAAACTTGTATTAAACAACAATCATATTATTATAATTTATAAACAAAAAAAGCACTATCTAATGGGGGTCGGAAGAATAATTGGAAACTTTTGACCAGAGATGTTCATTAATAATTATACGACTAGTTATACTGTTGAAGTTATTTAAATTTGTTTTAAATGCTTATAATTCATTTTTAAATCAAAGGTACGAAATGCATAAGTTTTTTTTTACTCATTTTTTTACAACACCCCATAACGCTGACGGCGTTTATCCAGATAACACATTAAGTGGTTATATACTTTTAACCATTGTTGTTCAATTTTATCTTTAGATTAATTTCTTCAGTGCTTTGTTTCAAAATGCAATGTCTTTTATTGTGCAATTTTAAGCTGTTGAGTTGTATTTAACATTTATTCTATTATTATATCTTGTTATCTAGTTCCATATTTCATTCTCTATTCAGTTGTTATATGTTATACAATTATTATTCTTCTCTGTTTCGTATTCCAGTCGTTATCTTGTCGGCATTACATTATTCGCGAGAAAAATAAAAAACTTCCTAATAAACATCCTTCCAAGTATTATTCGTCAGTGGTTTTAAAAATATTCATTTACGTAAGTATAGTTTGTATTCAAATTATTTTAACTTTTTACTAAAATATTTCACTCTTTTTTTTATATGAAAACGTTCAAACAAAAAACTTTATTTGATGATTATAATAAAGTTAACAGCTGTGTGGATATAAAGAAAAATTTATTTTTTTTTAACAATCCATAATGTAAATTTTTTTTTTTCCATTAAACTTACTTATAAAACTATTATTATTTTAGTTATTTTCCAAGTTTTGAGCCATTACTATGTTATCAAATTTATTATCCATCAAGAATATTTATTTTTATTTAATTTTCAAACTATACTAATATGTTTCTGTAATTTCGATATGCCTCTAGTAAAGCTGAACATTAAATCAGTTAATTTGCATTTTAAGTAGGTACATTATTGGGTTTTGATTTCGATGTCTTCTACAGTTCCACCATACTCACTCACTTCAGATTTGTATATATCACACCCCCAAATTATATTTTAACAAACTGTCAGTTAAGTGAACACATCAATATTTTCCAAAACAGTTGACGTAAGGTAATATTTCATGACCTATATGTTTGTTTATCGTTATCAATAAATTTTCCTTTCACTTATAGTTAGCCATTTATACACATTTATTATACCTACTCAATTCATAATATTTGGAATGTACCAAAACGTCAAAAAGCGTCAAGTTAGGTTATATATTATGACTTAGAACAGAATTCTTTCTTTCATCATTTTTTGTTTTAATTCTAACAAATGCATATTGAGAGTTAAATTTTGATTACTGTCATGTACTTAACAGAAATAGGTCAACATTTTGAAGTTAACATTTTTTTTTAAACAATATATTTTTATACAATTTCCACTAAAATTACTTAATTATTATAAAATGAAAATATATCCAATCAGCTATCATAAAAATGATGAAAATACTCAAGAAATATATTAGGAGAACCGTGGAGTTATATTTTATATACGTTTTCAAAAATTCAAACTGTATCAGTGTTAGCCGTACTATCATATTGTCATATTTTACCGAAGAACCCATTGATATTTAGATTGCATGGTTAATGGTTATACATATTTTTCATGCTCAACATCTAATTTAAAATTCAAATTTATTTCACTATGTGGAAAGTCATTATACAAACCAAAGAGGTACCTACCAATTTATACTTAAATAATAATTAAATTATTATCTAAAAATCTATAAGTTTTGGTTACGAAGATATTATAATGGTTTGACATTATTTCTATACAAATAAAGCTTCTACAATAATCATACCAAAACAGTAAATACACTCAACAAAAGTAAAAAATAAATATTGGACTCTTCTATAGTTTCATTTTTTTAATAATAAAACTATGAACAATGCTTGGGAAACATCCAACTCCGCCATTCAAAGGTAAGTACTCACAAATACAAAATTTAAAAAAAAAAAACGAGTTTGTGTGGTTACTAGATTTTATAATATTAAAATAGTAACCAACAATGTATTAATATCGTATACTCTACGTACCAATATAACAATATTCCTGCACTTTCATATCTTCTCCACTATTTTCCATTTTATGTGTCACTGATTAATATACCAATAGGTACTTGCCACAATGATATTTTCTTCCCATAAATTCAATATGTTTTTCATTATATTATTTAGCTTTTAACTATAACTCTATTTATTTCATTAACTTATTATTGTTTTTATTCCTTACAATTTATTTATAATTATACTATCTTACCACCTACAGTCCAAAAAATTTAATACAGAATATTAGAATAACAATAGATACCATAAGCTATGCATAATGCAATAATGTTAAATATTATAAATTATAGCTATAAAACTCATTTATATGAAACCTAATAAATAAGGGTTTGTCGTATAATATATTATACCTACCTATTGATTTATTTCACATATTATCAACCATTATAATTTCTAACCATAACAAAATTTATTCAGTTTCATACAATAATTAGGTATCATAAACAGGAAAATATATAAACAAATGTTGTAGGTGTTTTACAGTAATTGTGTGTGTATGTGTGTTAGTGTGTGTGGGTATAGTGTTTCTGTTTGTGCTTTACATCCATAGTTTATCGAATATATAAACGTATGTATTTTTTTAAGTTAGGTATTTCATGTTATAGGATACTAATTTTTCCACGAATTTAATTTTAACCAATTGAATTAAGAGTTTTATTTATTTATTTCAAACATGAAGTTTTGATTCAAACAAGTTATATAAAATAATTTCAATCATAATATTTTAGATTCTGAGTGGAAAGATGAATGTATTGATTTTACAATGATGTGTGTTTTTTTTATTTTTTTATTTTATTTGTGGCTGCGTACACGATAAGTAGTCGAAATAATGCTTCGACTTTCCACTCAGTATCTTGTTCGATTGGAAAGTGAATATCGTTGGTGAATTGGGAGGTAAAATTTTTAAATTCCCAGTAATTTTCCAAAGCACCAAGAAAAACAAAAGAAAAATTAAGGAAAACGGGAATTTTTACGCAAAATCAAATTTTGTTTTTGGTTGCAACTTTAAAACAAATGATTAAAATTGAAAAAATGAAAATTAATTCAAAGCTCCTTATATTTTGTTACAATAGAAGTTGAAAAATATTAAAAACTACATAGACACAATTTTTTTTTTATAGTATTTAAGTTCAAATTTTGACAACATTTATCACATATTAAAAAGTAATAATAATTTTGTAGCTAAAAATTTATGAAATGTTCAACTTTTATATCAAAGATTGAACATTTAAAACACGCTTCCACTTAAATAGGTTATATATAAATTACTTATTCCCCTTAGTATCATCAATTAATATACTCGTAATATTATAAGCTGTTCTAACCGTTTTCGCTCAGAATCGTTTTCTTACACCACGATATTATAATATCACTGAATTCAAATTTAATACCATCCATTATACAGTGACCCACTTGTAACCTACTGTACAGCAGAGCACCTTTTTAAGTTTTAATTTAGTTTTTATTATTGTTAAATAAGTTATCACTGTGCATGTGTCTACAGTTAAGCAATTACATTGAAAACATTGATGGTCAAAATATAAAAGATTCGTCAGTATTGAGACAGTGAAGCCAGACACACCAACCTTCATTGTGTTTCAACTATAGAATTAAGCTATTTAAAAGGTTCTGCTGGATTGCACTTCTCTATTAATGGCTTTCAGATAACTAGAAAATCCAATTAGCTGGAACTATTGTAGTAATTGATTGGTAGTTCGAGTATTCGGCTTGTTAGATACATTTCACTATTGAATAAATATCTATATTCACATTAGAGGTTTGTTGGCCTAATTTATTATTGGTACAATATTATAATGTGTGGTGATCGATGAATGTAAAGTATGAGAGTTTTAACTAAATTAAACACCAGCTACCAGTCACAACCCAAGGTGATCATACAAATTAAGTTATCATACAATTTGAGTTCTTGAAAACATTATAGGTTTATAGTGTACAAAAATATTAATTACATTAAATTTATTAAAATATATTGATTAATATATATATTTATATACATATACCTTGTCCAATAGTCTATATTCATTAGCTTTTTTCTTTTTGTTCAAGTTATAAAAAAACAATTGTTAGACTATTATGTTTTTATCATAAAAAGAAATCAAATACAATGCAATATAGTTCATTCGAGATTTGGTAAGCCTGCAATGGAAGAGTCTTAAGATTCAAAATTTAGAAATTTAAGATGATTTTAGTCAATAAATATTCAACAAATTTACTATAATACTTACTATATAAATTAGATTTATTTTATGTCTCCTATATAGTTAAACAGTTTTTAGAAATCATTTAGTTTGAAAACAAAATAAATTATAGTTACCGTTAATAGGTACATTTGAACGGTATTTCGAAGGTACTTTTTAAATTTCAAAAAGAAATTTGTAACCATTTTGTGGACTTTCACTAATGTTATTGATCATAGATATACACAAGAATAACTCATCACTTGTCTTGCAGATTTACTAGATTAGCCATAATTCACCACGTTAGATCCTTTGTTTGAATCACT